AAGCATCAAGTTTTTTTTTGTTTTTCCTCTGGTACTGGGGATCGAACTCAAGCATCAAGATTTTTAAAAGAAGCTGTTTAAATAATTGTAACCAAACAAAAGGAATATGGCACACATTTCCTGCAGGTTGAGTGGTCACAGTGATGGTAATATTCTTTGAAAAACTTTTTAGAACATAATATAGAAAGCTACAAAGATAATTATCTGGATGAATTGCTACAACAAATTATTATAAGGCAAACACCCTTCTAACCATTATTGAGAGCAAGAAACAGAAACTGGGGCCCATCAAGCCTCCCTTTGCCCCATCCCATCACAATGCCCACCCTTCAACCAAAGAATCACAGGCCTGACTTTGAAGCAATCACTTTCTTGCTTTTCCTTATAGATTTATCATCCAAACCTGCACCCCAATCATTATACTTGAAGGGTTTCTTTTCCTACTGTGTCTTTTAATGCTACTGAATCTACTATGTCTTTCTCTATCCTGTCCCTATTTTTTCCTTTTAACAATAATTTTTTTTCTTTTTTCTTTTTTTGGACCGGGGATTGAACTCGGGCCCTTGTGCTTGCAGGGCAGGCAGTGGCAGAACCACTGAGCTAAATCCCTGGCCCTATAACAATAATTTTTGAAGAAATCAGGCCATGTAAATCTGCAAACTGGCTAAGTTTCTAGCCTGGATTTGGCCGGATACATCAATGGAAATATTATAACTAGTTAGTATGAATCAAGCCATAAGGAGAGTGTCAGGTAGATTTAAATACAAACACCTGGTCTGCCAAATTCACAAGAGCACTAAAACTCAGTTCCCTGAATAGAAAGTTCCTTTTTGTTGTTAATAAAAAAAGCACTGATATAATTGCTTTGAGGTAATCTGCTTTTTTCTTCCTTCATCTCCATGACAATGTGGTAAAGGAAAAATGCCACATTGGATGTATAAGGCAGGCAAAAAAAAAAAAAAAAGTAAAAGCAAAACTTATTTTTCTTAGGAAAGAGCTGGAAATGATCAACAACTTCTACCCAGCCCTTTGATTATTTGAAAGTTTTGGCACTTTTCTTTAAGACACAGTCCTATGCAGCTAGTGGCAGAAAAGAGATAAATGATAGCAAAGCAAAAATCAATAAAAGGGCAATATAAAACTCACTGCTATTTTTCTTAAGTACGGCAAGATAAGCGTTCATTTCTCCCTTCACATTTACTCTTACCACCACATTCTTTTCAAGCCTCAGTCTTTAGCAATGTCCTTCAGGCATGGAATAAAAATAACTTTGCCTGAAACCCACTTGCTATAAGATCTTGGGGTGAGTTATTCGACACAAGTTTCCTTACATGAACAGTGAGGATAATGTGTACCTTACAAGGTTATTGGGGGCTCAAATTAGATAACAGCTATAAAGTGTCACATAGAAAATGCATAACAAATGTCAGTCTCTTCACTTTGCCTCTTCCCTGCCAAGTTGTATCAATTTTCCTTTCAATCAGTTGATTTTCAAAATTCAAGGCCTTGAGGATCAAAAGTTCAAATAAAAGGAAATTCTGAATTTTTCATCTTGCCCTGTTGCAGAACAAACCTAATAATGTCTTTGTGAATTTAGTTATTAGCAATGTGTACACCTCTAATGAACCCAGAACGGAACCCTCCTTTTCAGTGTTTCCCGTCTTCCTCCTCACTTGGGTAACCCTCCACTCCTCTTCTGGCTTGATCCTTATTTATTGATCCACATAGCAGAAGGGGGGCCTGGACAGTTTTGTGCCAAAACTAATTTTACCAGGAAGCTGAGACCCTGAGGAATGAAGTGACTTGCTCAAGTACATGCAGCTAGTTAGCAACAAGCAAGACAACAACTTCTAACAGCCTGCAGCAAATTAGATGCCACCTATAGGGGTCAGCAGGTAAAAGGAATGAAAGGGACCGAAAGGAGGGACCAAAGAGGAGAGCTTACAGTGATCCTGTGGGAGACAGGGCTCCAGGGTGCTAGAATTTCTAATATTTAAGAAGATGATGGAAATTTGAAATTGTATGGTTAATGTCAGTTTTAAATGTTGGCGGAAGTTTTTCAACTTCTCTGCAGGTCAAATAAGACACATCTAGGTACTGGACTTAGCCCGTAACTGGCCAGTTTGAGGCTTCTGCCTTCTACTAACTTTAATTTAAGTTTACGTTATTTAATTTGCTTTGATTCTCACACTTTCCACTCAAAACCAACCAACCAACCAACCAATCAAACCACAAAGCCCCGTAACAAAACAAAACAAAAACTCCAGTGGCTCCACATTATCTACAAGATAAAGTCTAAACTTCTTCACCAGTCCTTTCAGGCAATCCAGGACCACAGCCAAGGCCCCCAACCCTATTTACACGTTACAGTCAGTCTTTGTCTCCCACTGCAACTACCAATGGCCAATGAATTGCACTCTAGGTAGGAACAGTTCAGAAGGACAGCTGCCCAGACCACGGTGGCCACTTCTTGGTCTCCAGGTCCTTCCCTTTGGTGGAATGCCCTCCGCCTATGTATTCCTACTGCAAAATGCTGCCCATCCTTAATGTCCAGCTCAAACACCACTCTACAAACACATGCCCGGTGGGCCCTGCTGAGAGCCACCTTGCTCTGAATCTCTGTAGGCCTTTACTTCACTCACACGACACCACTACTCCTTGTTTTGGAGTTACTTACATCATCCCAAGCATCTAATAGCATTCCTTGAACAAAGAATCTGGGTCTTGGACCATATTGAATAGCCCCACAGTGCTGTGTACACAGCAGTGAGCTCAAAACACATCTTAGAACATTATCTTCTTGCATTGAGAACTTGTGGATCCAATATAAAAAAATACTCTTGCAGAACTCAGTGTGCCATGTCTAGACTGCTATAGGGGCTTTTAAACAAGTAAGTGGGCTCCCAAGTGCCAAAGGGCAACAGCCTCACCTCTCTGGCTCTTCCAAACATCCTCCCCAACTTGCATTGAGATGTTCTCCTCCAGAAACAATTACATTTCCGCCTGAGACAACACAGGTTCTAAATGGCCATGTTAAACCTTCACCTATGCCATGGAAACATTTCAAAGAGCCAGTCCTTTTCCACAGAATAAGGTTAACTGATCAGACCAGAGGGCAATCCCCGTGAAGGGCACACACAGCGAGCTATCAGCGAAGAACCCCTGTACAGGTATTTCAGATGTGCTGAGACTGATAGAAACAAACAAGCATCACTAAACCCTGTCTAGCCAGTTATGGAAGTCACAAACTTTTATCTCATACTTTGTTTCTCTGAAGCCATCCCCATATTTGGCCATTGCAATTTCAGTTAGTGTCAAAAATAAAATAAAATAAAAACTGGACTCCATTTTAGTTTTATTGGCCTGACCAACTCTACAGGCACTCAATTTATTGAGTGGCTTAAAAAACCCAATTTTTACTTTTGCTTAAATCAAAAGTACTGTAATTATCTTTTTAGCAATGACTAAAAGAATAAATACCATGGTCTCATAAGATGGTCTAAATTTGTACAGTAACAGAAGAGGCTAATATAGTTTTATCTCAAACCAGCAACAGTTAAGATGCCAGCTCAGTGATTTCAATTAGCATATTCTGGATACACCCTTCTAACATGAGCAGGTATGCACTGTCGAAGACAAGTTTAGCCTTGCAAACCTTATTTGCTTCACATTTATGTCACACGATAATCTGTTTTTGGGTATCAGAGAGCCAAGACTATCAAGAATTCCAGGAAATGTTAAAGAAAACTAATGACCCCAGAGGTTTCCGCTGTGACAACAATGTTTTCCTCTAGATGATGCCATGGTAGGTGACAGCTACTAACTCTTACTATATTTACCAAGGGGGGATGATTCTTACATTTTTATTGGAAATGCTTCTAGTGTAAGCATAGCAGTACAGATACACTCAAAGAACTTCTCATAAAAAGTGATTCTCTTCTTTGTAATTCCTGTGGCTGGAAGGAAGGGGATATGGGATAAGTCTCTTAGTCTCCACTTTTTCTCTTTTAGTATCTTTTGTGGTAAAACAGACTTGAAACAATACTCTCCCCTCTGCTGAAAACCTGTAAGGTGGTATATTTATTCTTTGTACAAATAAATTGTCATCTGAGTTCAGAAACTAACATTTGAGACACTTTTCAAACATAAAAGGAATCTAAACCTTTGATACTGGTTAAGATCCCCCACTTAGATCAACACCAACAAATATTTTATGATTGTATTTTTGTGAAATAAAAAGACTCATGGTTTTGCTAAAGAATAAGAACAAAGTAACACACTTATGAAAACAGAAGGAAGCCTGGATCCACCGCATCAAGCTCACTTGCCCCCACTTGAAAGACCATAAATACTGCTAGGGACTAGGCTAGGCCAAAACTTTTTTCTGATCTGAGACCCAGCCAAAAATAAATGGGCTGCTCCAATCCCCTTTGATCTCGTTCGATGTATATTTCCAGCGTAAACTGGTGATGTTTAGGCTGACAATGTTTTCCCAAAGGGCCAGCGATGAAGAGCCTGAGAGTCAGGCCGCTGCAACCTGAGAGTATCAGAGATCCTCGCAAGGAAATGGAAGTGCTCTGCGGAGACCCGCACTGCGGAAGTGTCCTGGGGACACCCGGAGCGCATCTGCGCGCGGCTGACACGCGGATGCCTTTCAAGATTTCCTGCTTCGGGAAACAATGTCACTTGTTTGTGTACTGTAAAAGGATCCTAGGATGAAAATGGGTGGAAATTCACCCCACATCCCCAGAATCCTTCTGGGAGATGAGGGCTGACTCCGGCTGGAGAGGGACACAGAGGCCCAGCAGTGAGACGCAGGGGCCAGGCCGCAGGCTGTGCCTCCCCGCCCAGCGGCCGAGGCCAGGAGGAAGCTGGGGGTCCCCGCTGCGGCCGACGCACGGCGACATCGCCGGCCAGCTACTCCCGGGCGGGTAGCCCGGGGTCCTGGGCTGCGCAGGAGGCGCTGGAGCCAGGGGTCCCCGCCCCGGTGGCGACCTTACCTGGTTCCTGCGGTACCACGCGCCCGACAGCGAGCCGTTGCCCGCGCCTGGCGCCCAGTAAGACAGGTTCCGAGACAGCTCGTCCAGGGCTGCCGCTGCGGCGTCCCCAGGGCCCGCGCGCTCCGGCGCCGCCATCAGGTCCTCTCGGGCGCCGGCCGTACCGCGCCCCGCCTGCAAGCCGCGCGCCGCCACTTCCTGCGGGCCCAGGCGAGGCCACCTGCCCCCGCCCCCCAGGGCGCAGGTGCCGAGCCCTGCGCCGGCCCCCCGGAGACCCCGCGCGTCCGCCTGGCAACACCTGGCCGGCCCTGGCCGCACCAAGCCGCCTGCCCCAGGGTGCTCGGGCATAGCGATTACTTGCCCAAGTGAATGGGAGGGAAAGGAGCATTGAGTAATGCAAAGCAGCTAACTTCGCCCCTGTCTACCTGGCCAGTCCAGTTCTCTGTCACGGGTGCGAGGATGTCTTACATAGATTTGACGTTGTTTGCACATGGAAAAGTCACGGGGGTCCCAAAAATATTGTGAGCGATGAGAATAAAGATTCCCGCAATTAGACCTCGGGACCAGCCCTTAAGAGATTCTGAGGAAGGGTCTCTAGTTACAGGACCCTGTCCGGTATCTGTTGACTGGGCAGGGTTTCCTTCACATAGGAACAGAGGGAACCCTGAACATTTGCCAGGTACTGTGTATAAAAATTTAGAATGGGAGACAAATATTATAAACAATCCAAAGAACTCTAACCAGATGTTCTGGTTTTATTGGTTTTCAGGTTCTGTGTTAGTTACCTGCTGATCTGGAAGAGCTCCTTCCCTTTGAGAATTATGTGTTCTGTGATTCCACATTGTTGGCCAAAGCACTGGGACTTGGAATTCTTTTGTGTACACCATGCTGAAATTCTTCTTAAATAATATACTTTAACTTCATGACCTCATGAAAAAGAGACCTTCAAGCAAAGAGAATTGCTGTCTAGCAGGGAACAGGGAGAGAAGGCTGTGACTGAACATTGACAAATGTGCAAATGAGAAAAGAAAGTGAGAAAGTCATTTGAGATACAGAAAAAACAAGCCATTTTGCAAGTGTGTACTTTCTTGCTTAAGCAACCAAAAGTTCAGTGAACATTTAATAATGGTAGTGGTAGTTAACTATTCCCAATTTTAAAAGGCTGATTTATTTCAAATAAATATCTGGAGGAAAAAGAGTTTATTTGTTTTGTTTTTGAGACAAGGACTCATTATGTAGTTCAGGATGGCCTTGAACTCACTATGTAGCCCAGACTTGCCTTGAACTCATGACGATCCTCCTGCCTCAGCCCCCGGAGGGTTGGGGTTACAGGACTGCACTGCCAAGCTTGGCTGAAAGAGTTTATTTGTGATATTTTCTATAACCTCACATCAATTTGTGTTGGTGACTTTATTAAATACTTATTTCTCTTGATATATTTTAGGGTGCAAGTAATAGAATATCAAACAAAAGAGGCTTAAATAATAAAGATCTTTTATCTCAGAGAAAATGTTTCTCAATGTGGGTTTATGCTGTTATCACTTTGATTTTTCTGCTCTGTCACACCTGAAAGATTGGCCTGGTCCCTTTGGAAAGGAAAACTTCCAGAATCCCCCTAGCAGCTTTCCCTCTATCCCATTGGCCAGGACTAGGTCATGTGCCCATGTTCTATCAGCAAGGGAGGCTGGGAAAGTGATTCTTGGGTATTTTGAGCCTTGAGAGTGGCGGTGAGTTCTCCCATCCAGGAGGAACAAGGATAGAGTGGGGGTGGTAGAGGGGACCAGCAGTGCCTGGCACAATCATTCCTTAGTGTTTTCTATGAGCCAGATTGTAACAAGTCATGCACACACAAATTACTATACTGATCGTGTTACTTTCCTCTTTAAAATGCCTCGAACCCTTCTTATTGACACTGTAAAGTCCACACATTCTAGAACTGACATATGAGACACTTTATGATTTGGCCCCATTACTCTGCTACCCTTAGCTTGTTCCTGTTTGATTTTTTAACTTAAAATTTTTTTTTTCAGTTTCTTTCGATTTGTTGAAAACCTCTAATTTGGAAGAAGATGGTACTTGGTACAGAAAAGATGTGATGCAGAGCTTACGTCGTTCCGACAGATTCCAAGATGCCACTGCCATTGCTGCCGCTGTCCTAGTGAGTGTGGGTGGCTGAAATGAACAATTCGTGACCAGAGTCCCTTCCCACACAGTTCACAAGGAGGCGGCAAGAGTGCCGAGAGAACTATTTTGGTCCCAGTCTTGTGGGCGCGACTGTGGAGACTGTTCCTGCTTTTCGAAGGCCTCTGCTTCTTACAGGTTTTCTTTGGGGATATCCTGTTCCCTCTGCAGGATGCCAAGCGTTTGATCAACCCCCTACCCTCAGCAACATGGAAATTTGTCTTCCTCAGTTAATTTGAAGTATTCTTTTCTGGTGACACATCATTTGAAGCTGGACCTCACCATGACCCTGGAGAGCAGGATTATATTCCCCCCACCTTGCTTGGGATCATACTCTTTTAAAAAAATTCATCTTTAGCTGGGTGTGGTGGCACACACCTGTAATCCCAGCACTCAGGAGGCTGAGGCAGGAGGATTATTGAAAATTCAAGGCCAGTTTGGGCTACATGGAGAGTTCAAGGCCAGGCTGGAAAACATAGCGAGACCCTGTCTCAAAATATATATATATATTTTTAGCAAGAATCAGTCACCGCTAGTTGTTACAATAAGAATTTTACAAATGAAAAAGAGACCTTCAAGGAAAGAGAACTGCTGTCTAGTAGAGAAGAGAGAGAAGGCTGTGATTTTTTTTCCTAGGGGAAATGTGCACACTGGAGCAGGGTTTTAGTTAAAGATTAATTTAGGTGTCTCACATCAGACACAAAAGCTAACTCCAGACTGGAGACTTTAATGAGAATGGCACAATTTTAGATCTTTTAGAATAACAAAGGAGGCAATCTCTACGAAGGTGGTTTGGTAATTGTTAGAGTACAGACAACGAAGGCAGACTTCCTGTGTTCAATTCTGACTGCACTGCTTGTTGCTGCGCAACTTTGCCCTACTTGCTTAATTTCTCCAAGGCTTTCATTCATCGTCTGTAGAAAGGAGATCACAAGTACCTGAAACACAGACAGTGATCAGTAAGTGCTATTACTGTTATCAGCCTTACACTAGGAAGGGATTCCTTAGACAAATACAAAAATACAAAGCACAGTGAACAATATTGGTAAGTGCAATTACAACAGATTTAGGACTTGTATACACTGATGCCATAAAATGTGAAAAGAGAAGTCATAAACCAAGTCACACATATGACTGACAAAGGAGTCATATCCAGAATATATAAATAACTCCTATGGGTTAATAAGAAAAAAAATCAGAGAACCCAGTGGAAAAATAGGGAAGAACATAAACAGGCATTTTTCATAAGAAAAATTTCATTACATTTTACAAAATGAAGATGTGTGTGTGTGTGAATTTCAGTCTTAGGTACATCTCCAGAAATATTACTATACAGAGACACCAGGAAAGATATACAAGCCCAAAAGCAAGAAACAAAACAAAAATCCTGTAGACAGCTCAAGTGCCTGTCAACAGGAACAATGGTTAAGTGAGATTTGCTATGTTTATGCAGTGGAATACTACACAGTGATGCAGCTGCCTTAACTTCAGCTTACCTTCAGCTGCCACCCATATCAACATGCAAGAACCCCACAAACACAATGTAGGGTTTTCAAAGCAAATCCATAGGAGTTTATGTACAGTATGATTCAGACACATACAAAATTAGATAATATATTGTTTAGGAGTATATGTGTGAGAGAACCTAAAAAAATGCAAGGGATAATAAAAATGAACTTTGAATATTGGATAAATACAGAAATTGGCACTGGGTGTGGTGGTGCATGCCTGTAATCCCAGTACTCAGGAGGCTGAGGCAGGAAGATTACCGTGAGTTTGAGGCCAACATAGGCTACATAGTGAGTTGAAAGCTTGCCTGGACTACATAGCAAGCCCTGTCTCAAAACAACAACAACAAAAACAAACAAACAAAAGAAACCAAAAAAAATTGCAATGTTCTAGTTCATAAATTTGGTGGTGAGTTGGATAGGAATTCGTTTTATTATTATTTTTGAAGATACACATTTATGTCATATATGCTTCTTCGTAACTGTATTTCATAATGAATATGAAAGGCTAATCCAGTGAAAACACAAGGATTTGTGGTCAGAAGTTTCAAAAATTTGAGATTGGTAGACCTGGATTAAGCGCTGTGTTCTGTTCTTTGCCTGCTGCATGGCTCTGGACAAGAGATTGGGTTCCCTAATTTATAAAGTGGGAATCATAATATTTATCTCAAAGGCTTTTGTGCACATTAAGTAGTACTCAGTGTGAATGAAAAACCCCTTGTACTTCAGCTCGGTTCACCAATGCTTACTTAGGGCCAGGAGCCCAGGACTAGAAGTTGCATAAGCTGGTTGGGAGAGAAGGTGGCACTGCAAGGCTACCAAAAGGGGTGGCTGCCATGGTGCATCCTGAGATGAGTGGGCAAAGAGGGAGGTGAGAATGACCAGGGCTGGCAGAAGGACAAGCACAAGTACAGACACAGATGCAAGGGAAACCAGAGTCCATGTGTATCCACATGAAGCAATTCCACAGCAGTCGGGTGAGATGAGATTCAGATTTCGGTGTCCATAGGGGAGTGATTCTAAGAGCCTCCAGATACCAAACTCAAAGGATGCTCAGGCCCTTCATATAAAAGGGCATAATGTTCGTATCCAACCTATGGTCATCCTCTAACATGCTGTAAATCACCTCTGCATTACTTACAATGCCTAATACAATGTAAGTTCTATATAAACAGTTTTACTGTATTTTGGGGGGGGGGAATCTTTAATCCCTGTGCCACTAGGAACCCACAGAGCAGCAGGAGATGAGCATTGGGTGAATGAACAAAGGTTCGTCTGTATTTATACCCACTCTCCATTGCTCAAATCACCTCCTGAGCTCTGTCTCCTGTCAGATCAGGGATTCTCTTAGGAGCATGAACTTTACTATGAACTGCACATGGGAGGGAATCTAGGTTGAGCGCTCCTTTGAGTCAACCTGAAATCATCCTCTGCCCCCACATGTGGAAAAATTGTCTTCCATGAAACTGGTCCCAGCTCATTTAGGGAATGACAAGAAAAAAGTTCTATACATGCTCAGTACATACACAATCCCCTGCGCCCCCCAATATTTTCAATCCATAGTTGGTTGATTCCAAGAATGTGGAACCTGCAGATCTGGAAGGCTGACTGTGTATCCTCAGACACAGGGGACAGCAGGGCCAGGAAATTGAGGTTGTTGAGTGTTGGGTTATCAAGGTTGGGTTTAAATCCTACTGAGGGAGCATGGAGTCACTCCAGATGAGGGAGGTACTGGGACAGATTCCTGGCTATGGGCAGGTCGGGTTTCAGTGGAGAGACACCAGAGACAGAGAGACAAGTTAGGAGTGTGTTGTGACTCACACAGAGAGGCATGAGAAAGGATGGAGAGAAGGAGAGAGATTTAAGAAATGCCAAGAAGGGAAACTGGTGGAAACCTACTGATGGGGCAAGATGGAGGAAGAAGGATCTAAAATGTCTGCTAGTTGGGGCTACTGGGTGTAAAAGCAGTATCATTGCCTGGGGGTGGGGAGGGCACCTTTATGGGAAAGGGTAAGTTCAGTTTGAATTTGATACTGAATTTTGGGAAGCTTGTGGAGCATTCAGGCAGAAAGGGATGCACTGGATATCCAAGGTGGAAGGCTGAAGGCAGGGCCAGGAAAATAGATTTGTGATTCGCCAGCACAAGAGCATCTGAGATTGGCTAGGGAGAGCATGGGGCCAACATCTTTTATAGCAGTGGTTAGCAAACTTCTTCTGTGAAGGGCTAGATAGTAAATATTTTAGGTTTTGTGAGCCATCTGGTCTCTGTCACAACTACTCTGCCACTGCAATGTGAAAGCAGCCACAGACAACATGTGAGTAAATAGATGAACTATGTTCCGATAAAACTTTATTTACAAATGTGAGAGGATGGCTTGAGTTGGCCCACAGGCTACAGTTTGCAAATTCCTATTCCAGAGAGAGAGAAGAACCGAGTATAGAACACCAGCTGAACAAGGACCACTTGAGAGGTGAGGGAATATGTTTGCTACGTTTCCTAGCATGTGAGTGACAGGTTCCCAAGCCAAAGGAACATTCATTAACTCAACTAAAAGCTGGAAGTCATGATGGAGTCAGGCCTCTGGACGCAGGAGCCTGACCTAGGGGTATGTGCTTCTTCCTTGTACCCCACAAGGGTGTAACAGCCACAGCAGCTCCTGGTGTCTATCTTTAGAGCCTGGGTTCATGAAGTAAAGGGAGTGGGCAGGTTAGATCCCAGTTCTTTCTGCCCTCAGATGTGGGGATATTGGCATTATAACCCTTACCCAGTGCTCAGTAACTGCAGCTTTCCCCACTAGAGGCATCTACCCAGTAGTGATGTTGGACTTGGCCATGTGGCTTGCTTTAGCCAATGGAAATATGGATGGAGTGACAGTGTGAGTTCTGGCCAAGACCTTCAGAGGCATCCCCTGTTCTGCTTGCCCTATGCCCCTTATTGAGAAGACAATGTCCAGGGAGCCACCATCCAGGGAGAATAAAGAAACCTATAAAGCAAACCAGAAAGCAATTCTTACTGTCCTCACCACAGCCAAATCTTTCTTTGTCGACTCCTGGGCAAAAATGAATAAATAAATAAATTTTGGTTGTTAAAAGCCACTGAGATTTTGAGTATGTGTGTTATACAGCAAAACTGATTGATTAAAGTATTCTCAAACAAGCTTCAGAGAGATAATCCAGGTGAAAACCGATTGGCCTGATTTGGGACACGTGACATAGCCCAGCACCAATCACTGAGGACAGAGATTTAGTATTATGATTGGCCCACCAGGGTCACAGGCCCACTCTATTCAGGCAAACAGGGCATTGCCAAGGTGAAGGGACTGCTGGGCAGACAAAAGCAATTGTAGAAAGCTAGCATAGAGAAGCACCGGGAAAACTTGGGCAGAAAGAGCTATAAAAACAAAGGTATGTTGAATAATGCCAAAGCTGCAGAGAAGATGCTGAGACAATAAGTGAACTGTGTTTATTGGTTTTGGCAATAATGGGAGGGTGTTATTGGTGACCTTTTCCTGAGCAGTTTCAGTTGAGTGTTAGGATGCCAGGCAGATTCTATTAAGGATATTCTTTTCAAAGCACTCAAATTCCCTATAGGAATGGCAGTTATTATTTAAAAGAACTTTAGATAAGAAGTAGTTTAGAAACCAGATAAGGGAGAACCAGGAGTTTATTTGGGCATCACTTTGAAGTTATAGGAGGGAAAGGGAACATTAGGATCAGACCACACTCGAGGCCAATTTTCAAAGTTGGGCTGAATCCTCGAAGATGCAACCAGGCCTGAGAGGCCAA